TTAATATGTCAATGTGAATATTCACATTGTCAATGGGCCGGGCCGAGTCGGGCCCGCCTTGGGCTGCTGGCCAATTTTATACTCTTATCAATGTGAATGTTAACATGTCAATGTGAATATTCACATTGTCAACAGGCCGGGCCGGGCCCGCCCCGGGCCGTCCACGGGCCGTTGGCGGGTTTCGGGCAGCCACAAGGCGCGGGCTAATTTTACACTCCTATCAATGTGAATGTTAACATGTCAATGTGAATATTCACATTGTCAATGGGCCGGGCCCTCCCCGGGCCGCAAGCAGGCTTTTGGGCGCCCATGGGCTGCGAGCCAATTTTATACTTTTATCAATGTGAATGTTAACATGTCAATGTGAATATTCACATTATCAATGGGCCGGACCAGGCCCGCCCCCGGCCGCCCATGGGCCGCGAGCGGGTTTTGCGCCGCCATGGGACGCGGGCCAATTTTACACTCCTATTAATGTGAATGTTAATATGTCAATGTGAATGTTCACATTGTCAACGGGCTGGGCTCGCGCCGGCTCGCGGGCGGATTTCGGGCCACCCACGGGCCAATTTTACATTCAAGTCACAAAAAGAAAAAAATCAAACCCCCAAATTATCTAAAAATTAGAAGAGATGTTTTTTAACTTTTACTTTCTAATTATCAAATTTTAATTTATAATAAATTACACCAAATAAAACCAAAATCACATGAGAAAGTATTTTATAAAATAGATAAGTCACAAAATTTAAGTTAGTGTACTATCCTATGCATTATTTATTAGTGAAAGATTATATGCACTTATAACTAAAAACATAAAATTATATAATTTTATATTTTTTAAGTTATAATTAAAATATTGTCATAACTAAAAAAGAAAAATTGGTCATAACTAAAGAAGAAAATGGCATAATTAAAAATGCATATGATACACCTCTTTCAAAGAGGATATATAGTATAATTTCCTTATTTATTATATTGTAAATGTGAGTGGTGTTTTGAAAAGTTGGTAAAAAACCAACTTTTTGACTTTTTTGTGTAAAAAACTAGAGGCGATGTGATCTAAAAAAATCAAAAAATTAAAAAATTGACTTTTTACCGGCATGCCAAAAAACCAATTTAGATGGTGATTGTTTAACCACATCAAATTTTAGTCTTACTTTTTCATCACACAATAAATAATGAATAGAAAAATATAGGTTGAATTATATTTTTTTACAATTATAGTTTAATTCAAATTTTGCTTTAGTTTGTATCGTTTCAATTTAAATAATTTAATCTCTACACTTTTGTACCATCTTCACTTTGATCATTCCATCTAAATGTTCATTAAATTTTTCTACCTTGGTTTCATAAAATCGTTAGTTTTAACCTCTAGTTTAAACAAAATAAAGAAATTAAAATTAAACTTAAAGAGTAAGAACAAAATTGTTCGATTTAAAATAATAAAGACTGAAGTAAAATTTAAATCAAATTACATAAATTAAAAGTATAATTTATCAAAAAGTATATCACATCAATTTAATCATTTGACATACTCTCTCAAGTTAGGGGTGTGGGTTAATTTGAAAATTCTATTCATACATAAAATTCATATAAAAAATTTCGTAATAATAATAATAATGTGGCAATTTCATTATTGTAAATGAACTCATTTATATAGGTGTTTTATTTTAAAATGAAACATTTATATTTAGCTACATCATTATAAATGAATATTTTATATGAATATTTTGTATAATTTTTTTATTTATATATCATTACCCGTGTTATTAGATGGGCTAAGAATAGAGTAGATGTAGTTAAGTTTTTTTTTTAAATTATTATTCAATAAAAGATTAATTAGAAATATAAGAAATATTACCGTAACCTCACACTATAAAGTAGGTACAACATAACCACTAAGCTAAAGACCTTAATTAGATGAAATTAGAAGTTTGTCAGTTTATTAGAAGTTTTATTGCGTTAATTCGATTTGAGATTTTGTAAGTTTTTGTACATAGCCCATTTACAGGAAAAATAAAAATAATTTGTAAATTGTGATTTTTTATATTTATTTTTTAAAAAATTAAATGATCTATTTTTAAATATAATTGATGTCTAATTAAAAAAATTTAAATATTATAAAAGACATATATAAATAGTTAATTTTTTTCATATATAATCAATATATAGTAACTTGGAAAATAAGGGGTATTTTTTTAAGGTCCTTGATATTATGATTTTATAGTATAAAGGACATCAAATATTTTCATGATGTCTTCAAGTCAGAGAAAATTGGTCCAGAGAAATTTTGAATTTCTCTGGCCTCCTTAGCCTTTCATGGACACTGCCAGAGAAATTTCCTTAGACTTTCATGGACTCTAAAGAAAATTCAAATTTCTCTGCCGTGGGTTTGATCCTCCACCATTGTTGCTACTGTTGTCACAATAGCTTCTTCCCCAACTGCAGTTCAAACCTTGCTGGAGGACAAGGCAGCTAAGCAAAGCAGTGGAAGAAATTAAGCTGATGCATATTTATCATCAGCAAGAATATTATTTGCTTCTCAGTCTAATATACATACACAGCCAAACAACAAAAAATTCTAATTTTACCAAAACTGCCAGCTCCTTGTTAATATTCATCCACTAGAAGTAGAGGCAGAAGCAGCTCCAAACCATTCCCTAATCTTTTGACATGATGAGATGAGTTGCTCAACATGGGCGTAAGCAGGCAGGCTGGCTGGCTATCATGGTTAAATCTGTTCTGGTAGAAACAGATAACGAAAGTGGGAATTTTCTCTGGGTTGAGAATTTATCTGGAGAAAATTCAGTTCAAATTCAGGCACAAATTCAGCTCCATAGCACACATCCCATCCAATCACTCTCACTTCCCAAACTAAAGTACAAGCCTGCAAATCCAAGAAACAAATTACAATTGCAATTACAAAACATATTTATATATTTTTAACAATACCCAGAAAAATTAAAGCTCATTTGTACTGATATTGATTGAAATCAGAAAGGCATGGCACCTCGGCGACCTCTGCTTCTTCCACCACTCCGGTCCCAAAGCTCGCCGTATCGTCGGCGTAATCTCCGTCGTTCGAGAATGGTACGAAGACGATGGTGGTGCGGTGGATGTGAGGGCGGTGGGGGTGTAGAGATGGAATGAGAGATTGAGAGAAGAGTCAATTGTGGTGTTGCAGGTGGTGACGCCGTGGATGGGTTTGGTGGCGGAGGGAGCAGATTTGAGGTCAAGGAAGGTGGTGAGGCGGCGGTTGACGGTGCCATTGGGGCGGCGAGAGAGTGGATGTGTGTGTGAGTTGTCTGTCTGCTGGTCGTGTCTGTGTGTGTTGTGTATCACAGCTCCGATACCTCTCTGTTTTCTCTCTCTCTCTCTCTCTCTCTCATCTAACCTGAAACAATGGTGGTTTCCGACGATCATCTCAGCTCTCCATGATCGATCTGTATTTCAGAAACAGAGTGATGATGATTGCGTTTCCGATCACAAACAGTGAACTCTGTGTGTGTGCGTGTTTGATCGTGGTGATGACTGAGAGTAGAGAAAAGGAAGGGCGCTGAATTTCTCTGTGATAGATGGGAGGGACCTTAGACATCAAAAAATAATATCGTTGATCTCTTCCATTACGAAAAGTGAGAGAGGGACCCTAGACTAATTTTCCCGAAAAATAATCTGATCAAATTACATGATAGATTGACGGACCCACCATTTCTCAGTAAAAAATGATAGAATTTTTTATTTTAAAATTATATTTTTTTAATTTTTAAAAATAAATGAATAGGGAGAAAATGAATAATTAATTTTGAAGGAAAATATTTTAAAAAATAAAATTTTGTAATTGGAAATTTGATGAATGGTAAAACGTTTATATCCACTTTTTGAATTAAAAAAATTGTTTTCATCTTCTAGTCTAGGTGTCAGGTTGGAGATGTTGTAAAATTTTAAGGATAAATTACACTTTGCTTATGACTATTTTTTCATTCTGGTTCTTAAAGTTTTTTTTTTCCTTCCACTTTGATCCTTTCTATTTCAAGTTTTTTTTTTTAATCTACTCCAAAAATAAACAGAAAACAACACATTGTCAGTTATATGACATATAAATATTTTATTATATATAACTCACACATCTGATACAAATTAAAATCTCAATATAATAATATATTTTTATATTATGTGACAGCTAACAAAATATTTTTTTTATCTAATTTTAATAGTAAATTGTGAAAAATTTAAACTATGACAAGTCAAAATAGGAAAAAAAAAATTAATTTAGGATAAATTACAAACACATCCCTTAATATTTACTTAAAATAGAAATTGCCCTCTGTAATTCTAAAAATTATATACAGACTCCTGAGATTTCTAATTTTATAATAAATGACATATTTTATTAATAAATCATCAAGTTAATTAACAATTTTTAATGATATTAAAAACTTATTTCAATTAATAATTAAAGTGATTTTATTATTGTATATACGAGCAATTAGAAATTTCAGTTTTTTTAGTTAATTTTGTTAAATAAAAAATTCTAATACATAAATATTTGGAATTTTTAAATTAGAGGAAGTAATTTGTATTTTAAACAAACTACACAAAGTGCATTTATAATTTGCCCCAAAATGTAATAACGAGAAAATAAAAAGCCAAAAGTGTAATTTACTCAAAATTTAAACGACCACCAACCGCCATGATCCCTCTCTTCCTTCCCTATTCGGTCATTCTGAGAGTCTCAAACACTCAATCATATTCCCCATCAACAGTTGTTTATTCGAAACCCTAGCTCACACCCTTTTTCCCAGACAATTCGCACAAGCAAAGAAGCTCTTTACGACTCTCCCTCAACATATAAATGTCCCATTTGTACTTTAAATTCTTCAACTCTCAATTTTTCAACAGTTTCGACCTCTTCATTCCATGCCCTTCACCCCCCAAAACACCCTTAACTCATCCCCAAAGACGAAGAACAAACAATCCAATCCCACTTCTTGATGCGGGGTTTGGATCACATTTATGCAGCAGGTATGCTTTTTGGTCCGAATTAATCTACTTACTGATTTTTTATTTTATTTTTTAAAAAAAAGAACAAAATCTTATTGGGTTTTTCAATTTGAGGTGGGTTTATTATGCTCAATTTTAATAGAGCAAATTTCAGATTACCCTTATGTGGTTTGGCTCATATGCACAACCCCATGTTGTTTGGAAATTAGCGCATAATCCATGTGGTTTGTTAAAAGCCCATTAATAATTTAAGTGAAAATACTAAAATACCTTGTATATAAGTAACTTCATCGTTAAACTATGGACTTTTCGAAATTCACTTTAAATTTACGAACATTTGGAAATGAGTATATAACCTCTGTTTATGTCTTGGCACGAGTTTCAAACTTGTGTTAACTTGGATAGAATGGCTGACGATGTACTTCAGCTAGGTTATGTGGTTATTTCTAAATGGTAGGTAATCTTCATCTGAATAAACCACCCCAAGGGGATAAAGTGAAATTTGTCCGTATTAATATTTTCTTTCTTGCTTGCTTCTTCGTGTGGGGTTTAATGGTTTTGGGTGCAGAGTGTTCCGATGGTAGCACTGTGTTTCAGGTTGGAGACATGAGCGAGGTTACAATAAATTTTGGAATGGAGGAACCCAATGACACAGATATCTCGACTGAGGTAGCTGATACAGTTATGAACATAGACATAGGTGTGCCCAGCGAAGATGATGGTGATAATGAGAGCAATACTAGTGTGGCCATAGATGTAACTGATTGCGGGATGGAATGTAATGAAGTATTGTTGGAAGATAATCGAGATTTTGAATTGTCTGATATTGAAGAATTACAAATTGAAGTGATTGATTGTTCTAGCTCCGGATTCGATTTTGGTCAAGAAAAAAGTGTGCATGCTCTGGAAGGTTGTATGGAGAATGAAAGGCATGAGATTTCAAGTCCAGTTAGTGTTTCCCAGCTTGGTGCTTTAAATGTGATTGAAACCATGACCGTGTCCAATCCAATAGAGGCTGAACCAATTCCTGATGAGGAAACTAGTCATGACACATTGGAAGAACTCATTGACACAAACAAAAGTGAAAGCACAATGAAGGTTGGCTTTTACTGTTCTTTCTCTTATATACTAATGTGGTTACTTTGCATCTTCACTTAATTATCCTTACTTTTATTATGGCAACAATAATATCAAATTTACTTTAATACTGGCTAAGGTAGTTTGAATGCCATGTATGAGAAGAAGTACAAAAATAAAGTGGAAAATTGTTAGTCATTAGACAACTGCTTTAAAAATGGACTGTAACTATAACCTATCGTTATTACATAACTGTATGGGCTGTCACTGCTACCTATTACGGCCACTATAGCAGCGTGATTAAATTTTACAAATGTAACGGCTGCCACCGTCACGTGACACCCATTGCAGGATGTTGCGACACCGTTACAACCCTTAATGTCATTACAGAACAATGACAAATCTGTGACATTTAAAAGCCAATTTTTTTGCTCATTTTTCCTCTTTCAACTTCTTGTTTTTATTATTATTATAATTATTTATTTACTCAACATTAATAATTGAATTCATCCATTTCTTGAGCTAGTTGGAGAGCTCCGATAGATTTCGAAGTGGAGGTGATGTAAAGGAAGGACTTGCCTTGCAAAGGGGAGTCATTGTGAGGGGAGAAGTAAGAGCTGCCTTCGTGTCTTTGAAAGCCTTACCATGTTCATCCATGATCCATCCACTTGAACTTTTTATCTTTCTCCAGTAGGGAACTAAAAGCTTGGGTGATCTCTGTCATAACTGGGATAACTCTTTGGAGAAAAGAGATTCGACCCAGGAAGGTTTTTAGCTCATCTTGGTTTTTTGGGCAAGGCATGTCGCAAATTACGGCAAGCTTAGTTGGGTTGGGATGTATGCTATAGCAATGCACTATACATCTGAGAACCTCCTGCTGCTGCTGGATATTCTGCAGTTTTTGCATTAGAAGCCTAGTGTCTCACCTAAAATAAACCGAATAGTAGGCATAGGATCTTTGGTTTGTTGATTAAAATGGGATTTGTGTTGAGGAGGGTTTTCCACCTTTAACAGATTCTTTATAGAGTTTGTAAGTGGTCTGTTTTCTTCTTTTGGTGGATACAAACTACTATAATTAAAGTTTTTGTATGCCCTGTGTGTACATGGATGATGCCACTACTTTGATGCTCTTTACTGAGTTGTAACTCAAGAAAGAAAAGTGTGATTTTCTCTTACTCCCAAGACTGAGCACCTTTTGTGTTTATGTTGTTTGTAGGTCCATGATGGTGTCCCTAATGTTGAATTGGAAGCACAAAGCAGTGATTTAGACGGATCAGAACACAGAGCGGTAGATTTGGAATCAGAAACTGCTGTAAAGAGGTATTCTGCTTATTCCCTGTCTCCTATCCTGTCTCCCTTTCCTTGACATGTTCAATTTCTGATTTCTCCTAACATTTGGTACAAGTGTTTCAATTGAATTACTATCTTTACAATCTGGATTTTTGTGTTTTATTTGCTTAAATCACTAAATGCACTCCAGAAGGTGTTACACTCTATGTGAAACTGTCCCTTTTCTTTTGATCAGTAATACTATTTTCATTAAAAGTGCCAAAGCGGGCACACATGTGCATTTCTTTACTCCATGTATCTGAGCATCATGAATTCCTTGGGGTCAAATATATGAATTCTTCTTTTAAGTTCCACTCTAATAAAGTAGCCTTATGCTCCACCAAATCTTTGGCTAAAAAGGCAGGACACTTCTATGAATGCTACAAACATGTCATGTCTGTGTTGGACATCAAAACTCATTGGACACTTCTTACATGTGTTGGATAAATGTCCAAATGTGTAATTCTTTTGAACTAAACATGCTACACTTGGTGGACACATTTCCACCGATTAGACACACATGATTTTGTACTATTTCGACATATTAATAGTTAAAATGAAGAAATAAAATATATATTTATTTGTTGCATTGTCCTTGCCATGTCATGTCCTGATTTTTTCAACATTGTCTTGCCGGCATGTCCAAATCTGTGTTGTGTCCGTGTTTGTATCTGTATTCTATATTTGTATCTGTATCCATGCTTAGATCTTTTCCTATCATGCCTTCTGACAACCTTGAGTCATGTTTGTATTACTTCCTCTATTCTGTTGGGTGCCTTCATCTTCATTAAGTTTCTTTTTACCACACCAACCTCTCTGTCTCTCTCTCTGTGTCTATATATTAGTATCATAGCCATCTCATTGTTAGTTCTGTTATTTTGTGAATTTTTTCTTTGATCCAGCTACCCAACATTGTCTCCTTCCCTTTCTCTTTCCAAATCCCTTCCCAAATCCTTCAACCAAACACAGCCTAAGGGATTTATCTGGGCATATTTTAAGAAGGGTGAAGACAAAAAGCATATAATAGTCGATTCCTTGAAAACCAATGAAGCAAATTTCTGGATAAATTGCTTGGGAAGCATCATTATCCTTCTGATCATCATTTTTTGTGTATGTTACTTCTAACCAGGGAGGAAATCTCAACAGCAGGATATATCTTATCCTCTGGTGTTTATTTACTACCACATCCTTCTAAGGTAATCTCCATATGATGGATATGACAAATGCTGTTTTATATTTTTGAATGACAAGAAATTGACATACATGTGTAATAATATTCAGATAATTTAAAAAGAGCATTCAAACTGAGAAACGAGAGTGTTAGGATTCAAAATTGTATCTCAAGTTCCTCAAATTGTGGGTCATTGTGACTTTGGAATCCATGGTTTTCTAGTTAGTGGGGAGAAAAAAGGAGCCATTATGACTTCCTGTTTACTACTAATTGAGTTGTTTTTTTTTTTTGTTTTTTTTTGTTGTTTTTTTTTTTTTTGGTGGGATGGGGGTGGGGTCAGTTATTGACTGAAATTTTTTGTTTATATATTTGAATTTATTCTTGACAAAGAGTTTAAAGTTTTGAAATTGGAGCCAAGTGAAAATTTTGGGTTATTATTGTCGTCAATTTAACATTTACAAAACGTCATATTGAACAGTTTTACTCATCAAACAAAAGAATAATAATAATGTAGACAGTCTAATTTGACCAAATGCCATGAGGGCACTTGTGGACAAATAAGCCACTTTGCACCTTGACCTATCATGCTAGGCAGACTTGAGGAGGCTATGGTTTGGTAGGAAACAAAGGAAATGCTAGCTTGGGTGCAGTGCCACAGACTTGGTTTGCCGACTCAATTCACTAAAACGGATATTGGGTAACTGTGATGGTGACTGGAGCCATGGAAATTTTCTCTTCCTCACACCTTCGCCAAATGATAACAATACATGTCTTTACTCGTGAAGCACGTTAAATCGCTATTTATTAATCTTTATGAACGTATAAACATATTTCCATTTTTGGAATGAGCTGATGAATTATACAATTTCTGCATAAGCAATGAATTATATATATATATATATTAAATTATTATCAATAAGAAATACTTAATTTCTTTTATTTTTTTATTTTAATTTTTTACCTATCATTGACTTTATGTAAATCTAAATAAAAATAAAAATAAAAATTAGTGTGTGTGTGTGTGTGTGTTTTATAAGTGAACTTTTATTAAACAGACATGGGGTGACACCATTGTAACAAAAAAAAACTAAAATCCTTCTCCAAAACTAAGCTTTCCGAAATTCAAAATTGCATCATAGTTTGGTCCGTCTAAAAGTAAGTTTTATTGACTTCCTTGGGCGTGAAGTTTGGAAGACAGTTGTATGAAATCACATTTTGGTCCGCTTAAATCCAAAAGGTAGTGCTATTGACTTCCTTGGCCGTAGGCATTCTATCTGAACCATGTAAATCTTGTTTTTCTTGCTCTTTTACTTCTCTCTTTTATTCTTGCATTCTCTTATGATTTATAAATTTATCAGTAATAATTTGGATGTGATTTTTTCGAACTATTTTTCTGTAGTAAGTAATTCAGCAATAATGAATGACAGGCATCTACAGGTGGGGATGATGCTTATTTTATTGTTGGCCGGAACTGGTTAGGCGTGGCTGATGGAGTCAGTGCGTGGTCAGAAAAAGGTAATTGCTGTGGACAGAGTATGTCAAGTTACAGCTTCTATTGCTATGTCAACTTAATTTTTCTGTTTATTTTGTCTCGGTGTTGGTGGTTTTACCAACATTTGTGATCTTGATTTAGTTGTTGATTTATATCTTAATAGATACACTTATGCATCTATTCAATAGACAAGTTTTCCGAATACAGCTGTTAGATAGCCCCCATAGGCAATAATATGCTATTGTTCAAGATGAATCTGTATCTTGATTTTGGTTTAAATATAATTTGTACTGAATTTTATTTTCCAGGGATTAATCCAGGAATTTATTCTCGAGAACTGATGGAGAACTGTCGAAAGATTGTCTCAGAATGCGATAGTATGCCTCTTATCAATCCTGAGGAGGTTATCAGTGAAGGTGCTCTGGAAGCAGAGTCTCCTGGATCATCAACAATTTTGGTTGCTTACTTTGATGGTCAGGTATTTGTATCTATCTTAAGACTCTTTCTGTTGGGTGGTTACGATGTTGAGGAAGTGTAATTATCAGAACAAGTTTAGTGTTTCCATGCTCTTTTTGATGATGTCAACTAAATTTCAGGAAATGTTTTCAGTCCCCTGGTAAGATATAAGTTGAGGAAGTTAATTGCCAATGCTTGAATGCAATGGGCTCCAAAATGCCCATAAACATGCTTGTCGGCAAATAATAGTAAGGAACTTGGGCAATGTAGGTATATGACTACCTTTGACGGTTCATATGACCCCCAACGAGTGGACCCCACAACCTCAAGGCATAAGCTCCCTTGCCTTGGTAGGGGCTCACCCAAGCACTTCACATTGGCTCGTGAGCCTTCCCTCACCTAAGTGCTATGGGTGCTTGCCTCACTAACCCTGATCCACAAGCAGATACCCAACTCTGTGACCATCTGATTGCCTCACTACCCCTACTCGGCGACTACTCGCTTGGCACCATGCACTTCGCCTTGCGAAGGCTCTAACTCCAAAATGATACTCTAGGGCGGGATCAGGGTCTACGGACTCTCTTAGAGTGGCTCACCAGTTTTATTTAAATGGCAAGGAAACATATCTGTCACATGTCAATTTAATCTGAAGGAATAGTATGGAAAGATATCTATATTGAGAAAGTCAGTTTGAAATCATAGAAACTGCACTAGGTTTTATTCCGCCTAGAGCTCAACAATTGTAGGAGATAATGATGTAATGCTTTAAGAACTCTGCTAGTAAGGATATCAACTGACAGTGTTTTAATGTTCCTCAGGTTCTTCATGTGGCCAATATTGGAGATTCGGGATTTATTGTAATAAGAAATGGGGTTGTTTATAAGAAGTCTACACCAAGGTCTTTTGAGTTCAACTGTCCATTTCAGATTGCAAGTGGAGTTGATCCCTCTGAATATGTGGACGTATGTTGTATCAATTACTAATACATTCAAGTAATGCTGACTAAACACTTTAATATTGATCATGTTATGAATATTTAAATCCATTGAAAAATTAAGCTTGCAATGAGTAGGAGTAATCATCTGTAATGTTATGAGCAATCAAACACGCAGGAGACAAATATTTAGAGCGGGAAAAACCCTTCAAAATTTGAAGGTAAAAAAACCTACTGCCATGCATAATGCACTAGCCAGGAAATTAAGTTTACTAGTACATAATATCTGGACAAAAATTCTACCGACCCAAATCCCATGAGCAGTTCTGTAGTTTTGATCTTAAACCTGTTTGTTCCAATCTTGCTTAGATTTGTTGTCTCCGCTAGCATGCTATGATTACTAATCCACAGCCATGACCTCAACACCCTCAATCCACAGCACCAAGCTTGGATTTCTTGAATGATTAAAAAGGTTGAACGCCAAATATTGTCCTCAAGTGAGTAAATATCTTCCTTTTATAGCCAGCCATTGATTTGTAGTCGTTGGAGGTAGTTGGGTTTCATTAATGCAACAATAGTAGTTGAAATTCTAAATTTTTGCGCCCAATTCTGCTTTTCCCAATAGGTGTGTTGACACCTTGTTGCAGAAGGATTTCGGCCGCTTCTGGAAAAAATTGTCTACACTACTTGACATTGTGTTACACCTTGAATAGAATATTATTAATTGGAAAATGTAGTTGACACTCACAAAGATGGTGTCGACACCTTGCACACCTTGCACATCTTACTGCAAAATAGTGTCGACACATTTTTTGGAAAAGTTTGAGATTTCTCAACCAAGGTGTTCCAAATCATACCAAACTCAATATATATGACAAATAATGATCATGAGACACTAAATCATCACCATAAAGAGTTCAAACAACATAGAATGAAATGATACTCTCAAGATATGAAGTTTTAAGCATAATAATCTATTTTGAAATATAGAAAGCTTCAAGATTTAGGAAAATTGGTATATTACTGCCTTGAACTTACTTTGTTATCATCAAAATGAATTTAAACTTTACTTGAGAAACCTTAGGGCTAATAGCTTGGATTTTCAAAATATCATGACTTTCTCATGAGACTCTGAAGTACTAGATACAATTCTTGGAATGAAATTGCCAGCACAAAAATGACAAGGATATTTTTCCTCATAATAGGCCATACAAATGAAAGTTGTTTTTTTCTCTTCTAATAAATAAATGATTAGAAATTATTAATTTTGTTATGTCTAACCATTTGCATTTCAGACATACATAATTGATTTGGATGAGGGTGATGTGATCGTGACTTCAACAGATGGCCTTTTTGACAATCTATACGACCCAGAAATAGTTTCAATTGTATCCAAGTCAATGCAATCCAATTTTAAACCTGAGGTGCTTCCTAGATGCCTTGTTAAACATTTTTAAGCTTCTCTAGACTCTTGACTGAACTATTTGAGAATAAGTTTATAGCAAGGCGTGCTGGTTGTAGTGTGGTCATTGCACAAGGCATTTGGCCAAAACAAAGAGTGACCCACTATATATTCTCTCCTTGAACTCGAACCTAAGAGTGATTCCCTGAAGTCCTATTCTTAGTTGCTAGGCAGGCAATGGTGTGAAACAAAATGACTTGTAACAAATATCTTAGTTCTCGTATCAATGAAGGATGTGGCAAAATGTGATATTCTGTGCAAATTGCAGAATCTTGTGAACCATTGCGTCTTTGAACACAATTTATTCCTGAAGCCATTTAGCTGATATTTTATGTTTTGGCGTCTCACATCGCATTGCCCCCTATCCCATCCCCTGTGAAGGATGCTGGCATTTGGGAGCAACTATTGGTCTTTTGTGCATGCCTATGCATGCCGTCCTAAAAATGAGTCCCCAACAACGGACTTTATGGATAGCTGTGATTGACAAACTGTTGTGCCCTATTGTGTGTGCTTTGTTGCCACGAGCGAGCTCCCATGACCCAAATGTGTTGTTGCTACGTTGCTTGACCATGACCAAGTCAGGCGAGTCTGCCCACTAAGTTTTAGCATATCATTAAGATGACAAAAAGTAACAAAACAAGGATTTCCCTGATAACAGCAACCAAACTGCAAAGAGCCAAACTTGAAAACCATGTGGATTATACTATAAGACGTACAAGTTAGATGCTGGTGAAATTCAGTGTCCAAAGTTTTTTAACTTAGGAAATATTGAAATAAAATTACAACTCAAGTAAATTGATCCCTTAGAGCATCTCTAACCCTTCACTACTTTTTTCATCTAATTTAATTTCAAATTTGAATAAAAAAACTTGATTCGATATTGAACTATTCCAACCCTTTCATCAAATTTTCATCAAAATTGAAAATTAGATGTAAAAAGGTTAAGGGTTGAAAATCTCATGAAAGAGTTAGGGTAGTTCATATCAAATCAAGCTTCTTTTTTTATTTTTCTTTTTTTCAAATTGGAATCAAATTAGATGAAAAAAAGTAGTTGAGGGTTGGAGATGCTCATCAACAATCCTTCCATGTTTTCTCAATGCTTTTTTTTTTTTTTTTGCCTATCATTTTTTTATTTTAAAAATTCTGCATACTATCTGTAGGAAATAGCGGAAGCCCTAGCCAGGAGAGCACATGAGATAGGGAATTCAACAACTTGTATGACTCCATTTGCAGATGCAGTTGCGACATTTGAGTTCGATGAGGGATTTACTGGTGGCAAGCTTGATGACGTGGTTGTTGTCGTCTCTTTGGTTCAAAAAATATCAAGCCCTCACATGGAGTAATTTCAATTGCTTTTATCTTCTTCTTGTTTCTAGTATGGAATCTTCATAACTTTTGAGCCAACATATGCTCTGGTCTTATTTCCCCAATGTGTAATTATTTGGTATATATATTTGGATGTGTGTTTGAATGTATGATATAATTCATTAATTCTTTGTTTGATTTACATTAGCAAGCTATCACCAAGAATTATTCCTTCTAGTCTTTTTCAATCATTGATCATATTTGAAGTCCTCTATAATCTCAACGCCTTTCGACCAGATCTTTGAGTTGGCTTTGCTATTCACTAAGAGAGGTAAGTTTTCCGGTGCTGAGGTATTCTCTCTCTCTCTCTCTCTCTCTCTCTCTCTTTCTCTCTCTCTCTCTCATTGATTTTGACCTGCACATTCATATTTATGCCTCAGATTGAGGTGATAGATAACCTTTGGGTTATTTTGATTGTTTCTCTCTGAAGGGTAATGCTTTGCTTTTATGTGTTCATATAGTTTTGAAATTAGACATTACAAGTGGTATTTTATGCTTTGTTTGATGGAAGATAGTAAAAGAATGGAAGAGAAAACTTTAAAAGTAAACTCCTTTTTCTTGTTTGGATGGCTTAGATGGAGAGAAAAAGTGAAAGGTGGTAATAAGATAAATGAATTATGAATTGTGTTCATAGCACAATTATGAAATTTTATTTAGCTTATTTGTTCTTTAAAAAAAAACCTTGTTTGGTTTTGAGTTTTAAAAACAGTTTTCTGACTTGTGTTCTTAATGATTTTTTAAAATATTATAATTGTGGGTGTTGATTTCTGACCACACAACCAAACAGGAAACTCAGCTGGAAAGTACCAGAAGAATAGATTAAGTTCGAACAACCTGTCACAGAAAAATAAGAATCCGGCGGTGGTTCGTCTACCCGGGGGCACTCCGACGATCAAGTCAATAATCAATATCTCTCAAAGATAGCAAATTGTGCTTCAACTCACAAGAAAGAACTTATGGTTTTCAGCATCTTGCACCTACCTGAGACCCACAGGGTGCCCTGTTGATCTGATCCTTGTAGAAGCCTTACTTCAATGGACTCAAACTCAATACTCATCCTAGACTCTCAGCTAGATAGGAATAAACCCCCTGTAAGCTTTATCTTTATCTAGACTGAGATACTTCCTTGTTCTAGAAGCTTTATCTTCAGTAGACTCAATCTCAATGCCCTGTTTTTTTTTTTTTTTAAATAAAAAAATTACAAAAATATTATTAGAGTGAAATGTCAATGACATTTTAAACATTATGAGAATAATAATAGTTATTTTGATTGAAAATTAAGAGACTATCATAAACCATATTATCTATGAAAACTTTTGAACGTAACGGTGATGTCATTATTATTGACATGCAAGTATAAGTAATCTCACTATAAAGATATGAAATTTATTAGATTGTTAGTTATGTTTATGTTGGTTTTTTGACTTTCGAAGGTTATTTTTGTAATTATGAGCGTGCCAGCAAGGATCAATCAGTCCTTACAGAATTGTAATTGCCAACCAATTATTCAGACGATTGTGTTATGGTTCTTTCAGCCTCAATGAAGAGGACTTTTACTGGTGGCTTACTGGTAGCTTGATTTAGGAGAATTTAAGCATAAGAACAGTTAAATAAATTGAAGCATTTCATTAGTATGAAAAACTTACAATGATCTCAGCCTCGTAGAGATTTACAGCGGCAATATACTCGAAAACTACTCCTACAAATGAAGTGCAGTGCAGGAATTTAAAGTACAGAAATGTAAAGAACAGGAAATATAAAAACAGGAATATGTAAAGTAAGACTGGTTTTCTTTAGATCTGAGCCCCCCTTTTTTCTCTGAGGTCCTTCCTACTATTTATACTCCCCAAAGATAACCATCAAACTGCACTTTAAACTGTTGAACTGCTCTTCTATAATCGCTGATCATGCTGCCTTATGAATAGTTCCACTACGCTTTCACTTGCAGTTAGGCTCCCCTCCTATATTTGAATTTGAATGTGAGTAACCGTTGAAGCCACGTCACTTTGCATCTCTTTATTGATCCACTATTACTCAGATCTTATAACAACCAATTTTAACCGCCACGTGTATGATCAGGATCGAAGACCTACCTGGTCTCCCCATATTACCCTTACTTTGCACGCATACGAATTGTCATGGCTTGCACAATATGTACCACATTACCCCCCGACTAATATGCCCAAGACTTGTGATATGTGATCAGGATCTTTTTCACGTCTTAGAACGTGCATGGTTTTGCATTCCCAGAAATGCAACTGTCACTCACCCATCTGTATTAATACTCTCGTTTAATCTTAAACACTTCCACTGTCTTAGCATTCGAACAGACTGATACATTCATGGCCGAAGTAATTTTTCCTCAACGATCGAGCCACGAAGGTATATTGTGATGCTGTTCCTCATCGAAAGAAGTCCATGATTTATTAGCCACCTTTACCCCTTTCTATATTCAGTATGGATGCCTTTGCAATTACCAACCTTTGATTACGAACACATTGCTCTTAATCCTTTGATTAGAAGTTGCAGATATAGACATAAGAAGTTCTTCCTCTAACTCGCCCTTACAGTTCGAATAAACTGCTCTCAAACCTTTGATTCGGAAAGTTGCAAATATGGATTTGAGAAACTCTTCTTCACAAATCTCTGTATGGGATAAAGCTGCAACTTCTTCCTCTTCTGGGGGTTCTGACTGGACAAGCTGGTCAACATCTGAGACCTGTGATTTGAAGGAGCGAATCAACCATCATTTTGTTGAGTTCACTGACCCTTTAAAGTTTCCTTCCTATGCTCGAAGTTCAGTGGTCTATCCCTATGTGCCCATTGACCATCGGCGTAGTCTAGAGGAGAATCTTCTTGTAACATGGTATACATCCTCCATGCCTACAAAGATAGTGCACGCTGCTCGCCGCCCAGAAGAAGCACAAGGGTACAACCCATCATTCTTAGCCCAGAAGGCGAAGATTTGTTCTTTTGACTGGCTTGATTATATTAATGCCTTTGTTCCTTCTGCTCCCGTGTCATCTCTGAAAATAGAAGCGTCCACACCTTCGTCTTCGTCTCCCGAAATTGAAGTATTCATACCTTCTCCCCTACCAACTCTTTGCTGGACAGAGAGACTGAAGCTTGCCCTATCCATGGAAAACGTCTTCCCACCTTATAAACGTCTACCTTCTCCTACTCCAGCTGAGCAGAAACAAGCTCAACTTCTGCTTGCAGCTTTCTCTCACTTTCCTTTTAATGTTCTTGAGGACGAAGTCCCTCTCAAGAACCTTCGATGGGCTTGTGATATTCTGACTATGGGCCATGTCCTTAATCCCCTTGCTCAGGCAGAACTTCATATGTTTATGGACCAACTTCCATTGCTCCTTTACTGGCATCGAAATTCTGTGGCTACTACATAATCTTTAGACCAACTTTCGTCTCTTCGAATTCATGCTCAGTACGAAGCAGAGAACTTCATTGAAGAATTCGGTGATTTCAAGAATAAAGATTCTGCGTATTGGGATGACTTAGACATTGACGAATTGGAACAAGGATTAAGAGAGGTGGCTTTCAAAATAAAGGCTGAAGAGCTCTACTACGAAATGAGAGCACATCAACTTATGCAGCCAATGCTAGAAGACTTGGAAGATAGAATAAGGAAAGAACAAAAGTTTATTGATCATTGTTGGACTAAATTTCATGATCTTGTTATTTATTCCATTCCTTATTTTTATAAGCTCGAGTTCATACCGAGATACGGTCATCTGATGTAATCGCTTTGGTTTTAATATGAACAAAATTCTTCTTCATTTGGCATTGTTTGACCCTGCTTTCACTTGTGTTTTAAAAGTCAATTCAGAGCTTTGAATTTTGAACAATTTCATCCTTTGAATCTGGACTTAATTGTTTTAAATGAAACACTAAATGAGCCAATTGTAAACCCTGAGTTGATACCGAGATAGGGTCAGCTGACCTTAAGGTCACTAAATGAGCCAATTGAATCTGGACTTAATTGTTTTAAATGAAACACTAAATGAGCCAATTGTAAACCCTGAGTTGATACCGAGATAGGGTCAGCTGACCTTAAGGTCACTAAATGAGCCAATTGAATCTGGACTTAATTGTTTTAAATGAAACACTAAATGAGCCAATTGTAAACCCTGAGTTGATACCGAGATAGGGTCAGCTGACCTTAAGGTCACTAAATGAGCCAATTGAATCTGGACTTAATTGTTTTAAATGAAACACTAAATGAGCCAATTGTAAACCCTGAGTTGATACCGAGATAGGGTCAGCTGACCTTAAGGTCACTAAATGAGCCAATTGAATCTGGACTTAATTGTTTTAAATGAAACACTAAATGAGCCAATTGTAAACCCTGAGTTGATACCGAGATAGGGTCAGCTGACCTTAAGGTCACTAAATGAGCCAATTGAATCTGGACTTAATTGTTTTAAATGAAACACTAAATGAGCCAATTGTAAACCCTGAGTTGATACCGAGATAGGGTCAGCTGACCTTAAGGTCACTAAATGAGCCAATTGAATCTGGACTTAATTGTTTTAAATGAAACACTAAATGAGCCAATTGTAAACCCTGAGTTGATACCGAGATAGGGTCAGCTGACCTTAAGGTCACTAAATGAGCCAATTGAATCTGGACTTAATTGTTTTAAATGAAACACTAAATGAGCCAATTGTAAACCCTGAGTTGATACCGAGATAGGGTCAGCTGACCTTAAGGTCACTAAATGAGCCAATTGAATCTGGACTTAATTGTTTTAAATGAAACACTAAATGAGCCAATTGTAAACCCTGAGTTGATACCGAGATAGGGTCAGCTGACCTTAAGGTCACTAAATGAGCCAATTGAATCTGGACTTAATTGT